GTTGAGTTAAGTATGTTATGTCTGGGTAGAACAAGCTATTGAAATAACAAATACTACACAAGTATAAACATTTCAAGACATAAATTCAAGGAAATACAGCCACAAACATACATAGATGGTATACTAAAGCTTGATTAAACAATAGGAGGCTTATCGAATCAACTAAGAGTACAAAACTATTAAAAGTAACAAATTTTCAGATTCAAATCACTTTAAAGATAGCTATCAAAGTAGTACTGCTAATGGTTCTTAAAACTTGGCCTTGTGTGGGTCTGAAGAGAATTTTGTCTAGTTTCAAAATCAATTTTATGGAAGTGGGATAGCCTTTCTATATTTTTAGTTATTAATGAAATACTCCAGGTCTGTCCAGATTCAGCAGCAGTTACGAAAATCAGTTTTTCTTTCAATCAACTCATTCATTTCTATTGAAACCAATTTTACTTGAAATTTAACACTTTAAGGAATTATTTGATTCAAAAATGAGCCCCAAGGAAATTTTTCTGCATTTTTCTAGAATTTTTGAAAGTTGGTTGAAAATATCGTCTCATAGTGCTCAAAACTTAAAATAAAAATGTTATAAGAAAAAGAGTCAACCATGTGTAATTGGACACTTCTCATATGATAAAAACATGCCAAATAATGTATTAATAACTCATATTTTTGGCTTGAAGAAGTGTCTTTTATATGATACACTAAATAGGTTAGAACTTGATAAATTACTTCAACACAATTTGAACACAAGCAAGGTACTCATCAATACTCAATCACATTGTAATGAACACATGAGAACGATATATAAGAATATGAAATCTACATTTTGGACACATAATATCATGTATTTAGAAGAGAGAAGAAATGAATAGAGTGACGTGTGGCTTACTTGTTGCTAGGTTGCTAAGATTGGACAAAGCTCTCTCTCTCTCTCTCTCTCTCTTTATCTCCCTCTCTGGTTTTTTTTTTTCTTTCTCTTCCTCCTTCTTCCCAAGCTCGCAACTTGCTCTCCTCTCTCTCCCTTAGCCATGTGTGTGTTTGAGTGTGCAAAATATGCAAGCCGGCTAGCTCACGTTTGTGTTTTTAGGGGGTAAGGCCATGAGAGGGTAATTTATATGAAAATTGGGCCGAGCTGGGTAATGGGCCATTATGGGCCACAGTGCGATGGGCTGAGTAAAAAGGCTATGAAGTTACTCCGGCCCAAGAGAGGTGCAAAGTTACTTCGGCCCAAGAGAGGTGTAAAGTTACTCTGGTCCCAAGAAGGTTAGCTCGGTCACCATACTAAAACTTATACCAGTTATGGCGCAGTATGGTTAGCTCGGTTTAAACCTTGCTAAAAGTTAGCTCGGTTTAGACTTACCACGGTTTGTACAGGAGGAACTGAGGTAAGGGCAGTAAAAGGACGAACCGAACTAAGGATAGTTCGGTCTATTCTACGACTAAGCATAACCATGCGTACCTTGGCCACATTGGAGTCCGACCATGGTAAAACCATCTCACTTGGTTTAAACAGTGAGGGGGGTGTTGAAGGATAGGCATTATCTTTCAGGAGTATGAATCCTAGGAGGACTCTACATGGAGGAGTAAGAGTCCTACTTGGATTGTGCCACACGGAACCTATAAAAGCTCACAAACATCACCTATGGAGAGGTAACACAACTTTGATTCCTGAATACACAGAGCTTTTGTCTATTTGTCTATTCTGCTGACTTAGGCATCGGAGAGGTTTCCGGCACACACCCGCCGGCTAGCTCACGTTTGTGTTTTCAGGGGGTAAAGCGACGACGTTTGGAGGAGCACAGACTTGATCAACAGGATTATACGAGAAGATTTATTTCTTTCCCATACAATCATGTATTTAAAAGAGAGAAGAAATGAATAGAGTGACGTGTGGCTTACTTGTTGCTAGGTTGCTAAGATTGGACAAAGCTCTCTCTCTCTCTCTCTCTCTCTTTATCTCCCTCTCTGGTTTTTTTTTTTCTTTCTCTTCCTCCTTCTTCCCAAGCTCGCAACTTGCTCTCCTCTCTCTCCCTTAGCCATGTGTGTGTTTGAGTGTGCAAAATATGCAAGCCGGCTAGCTCACGTTTGTGTTTTTAGGGGGTAAGGCCATGAGAGGGTAATTTATATGAAAATTGGGCCGAGCTGGGTAATGGGCCATTATGGGCCACAGTGCGATGGGCTGAGTAAAAAGGCTATGAAGTTACTCCGGCCCAAGAGAGGTGCAAAGTTACTTCGGCCCAAGAGAGGTGTAAAGTTACTCTGGTCCCAAGAAGGTTAGCTCGGTCACCATACTAAAACTTATACCAGTTATGGCGCAGTATGGTTAGCTCGGTTTAAACCTTGCTAAAAGTTAGCTCGGTTTAGACTTACCACGGTTTGTACAGGAGGAACTGAGGTAAGGGCAGTAAAAGGACGAACCGAACTAAGGATAGTTCGGTCTATTCTACGACTAAGCATAACCATGCGTACCTTGGCCACATTGGAGTCCGACCATGGTAAAACCATCTCACTTGGTTTAAACAGTGAGGGGGGTGTTGAAGGATAGGCATTATCTTTCAGGAGTATGAATCCTAGGAGGACTCTACATGGAGGAGTAAGAGTCCTACTTGGATTGTGCCACACGGAACCTATAAAAGCTCACAAACATCACCTATGGAGAGGTAACACAACTTTGATTCCTGAATACACAGAGCTTTTGTCTATTTGTCTATTCTGCTGACTTAGGCATCGGAGAGGTTTCCGGCACACACCCGCCGGCTAGCTCACGTTTGTGTTTTCAGGGGGTAAAGCGACGACGTTTGGAGGAGCACAGACTTGATCAACAGGATTATACGAGAAGATTTATTTCTTTCCCGTACAATCATGTATTTAAAAGAGAGAAGAAATGAATAGAGTGACGTGTGGCTTACTTGTTGCTAGGTTGCTAAGATTGGACAAAGCTCTCTCTCTCTCTCTCTCTCTATCTCTCTTTATCTCTCTCTCTCTCGTTTTTTTTTCTTTCTCTTCCTCTTTCTTCCCAAGCTCACAACTTGCTCTCCTCTCTCTCCCTCAACCATGCGTGTGTTTGAGTGTGCAAAATATGCAAGGGGGGTGGTTCTATTTATAGGAAAAAAGTGATGAAAGGTCTAAAGTGCCCTTGTTTGGAATTGAATGAAAATAATTTGTATTTAGTTAAAACGTAATGAAATGGTGGTCGAATAAGAGGTTTAAGTGTGGTTTAAATCATGATTTAGTTATAGTTTGGTTAAGGTAGAACTAGATTGATAGCTAGTACAAGACAAGTCTCCATGATTTTGGGTCAAGTCACAAATTCTTCCTTAAATTCTTGAATCATGCTTTCAAAGTACACCACCAAAATCCTCCAAGGGGTGTTCGGCCATGTGCAAGGGAGTTTGACATTTTTTTCACATTTTTTTTGGGCACAAATACACCTTAAAATATTGTAGATATTTGTGGAAAAGATTATTATAATGAAGTGTACTTATATATATATATATATATATATATATATATATAAAGTAATGAAGTTGAGATTAAAGTGCAATATTGATAAAGTGTGAGGGCATGGACTAAATTTATAAATTAAAATACTTTTTTTAAGTATGGGATTAATTAAAAAGGAGATAGGAAAGATAATTCGGATTGTGCTATTTGGAATTAAAAGTGAATAGTTGAGCGAAAATGGCGATAATCGAAAACTAGGGTTTAATTCGTGAGTAAACGAGGAACTAAGAATTTTATTATAATAATTCAAAAGTTGAGGTTTTAATAGGGTTTACAAAAGTTAGGGGCCTCATATTCATCATCTTAGGTTTTGTGCTTCATCATCTTTGTCTTCATCTTCTTTGTCAAAAAGATAGGATAGAGAGGCATGGATGATTTAGGGTTCGTTTGTGCCCTGTCATTTTCGTTTTTGTCTTCTTCATCTTCAATTTCAGTGAACGATTTAGGGTTTAGGATTTGAAGAGATATAAAAGCATGGATGATTTAGGGTTTGTTTGTGTTTCATCATCTTTGTCTTCATCTTCGATTTCATGGGTTTCGGGTTTCTCAAATGATTTAGGATTTAAGATTTAGAGGGATAGATAGGCATAGATGATATGTCGAAATAGGTTTCCTAGTCCATTTCTTGGCTTTCGGGTTTCAATTGAATATTTAGGGTTTTAAGATTTCTTAGATATAGAGGCATTGATGTGGAGATAGAGAGAGAGCAAAACAAAATGCTTCATGATTGAAAAACAGAGGGAAGAAATAGGAGAGAAGAGAGGGAAGATGGAAGACAAACAAATAGAGAGGGGTCGAAAAACAAAGGAAAGAAAGAGAGGAAGAGAATGACAGAGAGACAATATGCAAGATGGTTTTAGAATCAACTCATCCAATGACAATAGATTATTGATGAAGGAAAAATTATTCCATGCCTCATGGGCATGAGCATTGATTTGGTATTGCCACAAAATAATCCAAGACATTCATTGTAAACATTTTTTTTCAAATTTTTTTATAATAAAAATTTTAATATTTTAAGTTTTAAAAAGATCAAAAAAAAAAAAAAAACCCACTAAATCCAAACATCACCTAAAAAAAAAGAGGGAAAGTTGGTTAGGATTGTGTTAAAATGGCATTGCACCATTATAACACTATTGTTATAATTTGACAAATTGCTATAGTAACATGTCAAATTATAGTTTTGAGAATATTATAATAACAACTACCATTAGAGATGGTCTAAAAAATATTTATTGATTATACTATAAAAAAATTTGAAAATTAATTTAGTGTAACAAATTTTTTAAAAAAATTTAAAATCATTTTTGCATTGTTCTATCTTCTTTGAGAATGAATAATTTTTTTTTAAACTCAAAAATAGTTTATTTATTTATTTTTTATATTTTTGTTAAGCTCATTTTTATTTTTTCCAAAGATATTTTGAAGGGTTGTTTGGCGCCTCGTGTTCACATTAGTTGAGGGATTCATGGATCCACTTTCGAATAATTTATTTCGTTTGTGTTGTAGTTTGACCACTATGTGGACGTGGACAGTTACTGGCGGCGGAGCTTCCATCAAGGTGACTCAGAAGAACTCTTTCCAAATTCATAGAGCAACTATTAATATAAGCCGCTCAACTCTGTTCTCTCTCTGTCTCTCTCTCTCTCTCTCTCTCTCTCTCATTCATACTGATATTCTAAGCAAAAACATGGATCTTCAAACCCTAAATCGAAACACTTACTTTCTAATGCAAAACCCTAAATTCAAACAATTGTATAATCGTCCGACTTTCTTCAACCAATTGCAATTGCAAGTTCACTTCTCTTTGCAATGCCATCGCAAACCTCGCATGCCTTCAAGCCTCCGAATCTTTCATGTAGCGGCAAAAAATCAGTTCATTACTGCTTGCATTAGTCCAAGCCAAGAAGTTGTCGGTGGTGAAGATTCCAAAATGGCTTCGGTTGAAGATGAAGATGAAGAAACAGAGGTGGTTGAGTCAAAAAGAGAAGAGTTCGTGGTGAATGACAGTATTTGGAATCAAATGGTAGAAATTATGAAGTTTTCAGGGCCAGCTATTGGTTTGTGGATTTGTGGACCATTGATGAGTCTCATTGACACTGTTGTGATTGGTCAGCAAAGTTCTCTTGAGCTTGCTGCTTTAGGTATTTCTTTATTTTTTCTGATTGTCTATTCAGTGTAAATTTTTGGTGGTCTGAAAGGCCGCGATTTAATTTGGATGTGATTTTGTGGTTTTGTTTTGGGCAGGTCCTGGGACTGTGGTTTGTGATTATATGAGCTATGTTTTTATGTTTCTTTCAATTGCTACATCAAATATGGTCGCTACTTCACTTGCAGGACAGGTTAGTTTGTCAAGAGCATTGTTGCTTTGTTGAAGGGCATTGTTGGTTTTCATTCATCATTGCGATTTTGTCATTAAATTTTAGGCATTATACTTTAAGTTGGGTACTAAATTTTCCGAAAGCAACTTTCAACAGTTAAAAACAACAAATTTCCTAATTTGTTTTTGTTTCAACACATGAATTCCTTCTATTATTTTTTTAATGCATTGTTGAAACTTAAGAATCTAAGAAGCACATACACTTCTATGAGGAGGCGTGTCATGTTGAACACAACACTATGTGGACACCCTTAAAAGCATGCCCGGCATTTCTTCAACTTGTCTTAATTAAAATTTTAAATTCATAATATTGGACAATTTACAAACACTTCTCGAACACTCCTTGAACCTTTGAACACAACCTTTGTGATGAATCTCTTTACGGTAACAATGTTATGCATTCATCATAATAATGCAACCTGTGTATTCTAAATATGTTTTGAAACATTTTAAGATGAATATGTTATGTGTGTTTTAATGTTCTATAATTGTTTTATGTTCTTTAGATTACGGTTGTTATGTAAATGATATTTTGATATTTGAGTAATGGAATATATGGTTTTTATTTTAGGTAGTGTTTTTTTTTATTACTTTTAAATAAACTGTTCATATATTTGACATATAATAAATTTATAAAAATATATATATATATGGCAAATTATACCTCTAGTCCTTATACTTTAACCTTATATCATTTTGGTCCTTGTAATTTCAATTGACTTGATTTTGATCTTGAATTTTTTACCTTGTCTCAAATTGGTTCAATTGATTTCAATTGTTAGCATGTTTTATGACAAATGCTCACATAAGCGGCATTTGTAATGCTTTTACGGGCAAAATTGTAAACTTGATCAATTTGATCACTTAACATCAACTAACTCAGTGATAATTTTCCGCTAAAAAAACCTAACGAATTTATTAATTGGACCAAATTGACACAAAATCTAAAATTAAGGGTCAAAATTGAGCCAATTGAAAGTGTAAGGATCAAAATGACACAATTGGCAAAAAATAAAAACTATTTGTATAATTTACCCAAAAAAATATAAAATTTTAACATATCCTAGATGTAATGTGTCTTCTATTTTTTAAAAAGTGTCGTGTTGTCTATTTGAATCTGTGCTATTTAGGTCAAAACTGACGTGCTTTTGCTTCTGGTATGAGAATTATGAGTGTCACAGCAGTATTATTGATGTAGAGTAAAAGAAACTCAAGAACGAGTACATTCAAAATACCGGCGATATTTGGAACTTGGCATGATTTTAAAGAGAAACCGATAGTAATCACATATAATCATATTTCTAGTATTATTAGAGTCTTACTTTATTATTATTTTTATGTTTCTTACGATTTTTAAGGTGAAGGGTATTTTGGTAATTTGCAAAATTTCCAAATATGGGTTGTGTGTTGGGTCGAGTAATTTAATTAGTCTTTGTTTTTGTTTCTTATTTAGTCTTAGATTACTTTTGGAAGTCAAAAATATTATGATAGTTTCTTGTTTTGGTTATAGTTGGTTTGGGAAGTCTATTAGTTCTATATAAAGTCATGTAATGCTTATAATTTAATAGAGTTGATATTTTAAAAAAATTTGAGAGCTTTGAAGTCTCTTTGGGTTTGTGTGATGCAATCCTAACCCTAGGTGTGATGCTTAAGGAATTTATTCCTATGTCTATCTTTTTCTTATCCTTCTTTCCCTCCTGTATTTTCTGCACTTTTAAACAGCCCAAACACTGTTCACGAATACTGTTCACAGCTCCTAAAACAGCCCCTAAATAGTGCCAAATTCCTATCTTTTCATGCTTAAACTCTTACCCATTTATTACCCTAAACAAACTGTCACGATCGAAACCCGCCCCCGTGGGTTAAGGACATAACCGGCCAGTAATTATGAGATTACCTGCGGCCTCAAACCAAATCAGATACGTTTTAACAGAGTTAAGGGGGCCAAACGGAAGCAATTTCAAACTTTTGTCCGTAGAGCTGTACTTACATGGCACGCATGACAATCTATTTGCATACATGTTAATAATACAAAGTTTTGTACATAGAGGATCATCCAAGTCTTAGTTAGCCTAACCAAAACTTATATACAAAGATAGACCAACGTTTTCGCCAACATGACAAAATATAACAAAATAGCAAAAGGGCGAAAATAAGTCTCATGCGTGATACGTTCCGGCTGACTCTTCAAAACCTTGATTGTTTCACACAACTTCACTGAGGCTGGGTTTGGACCTCCCTTGGCTCACCTACAGACACATGAATGTGCGTGAGCGAATGCCCAGTGGACAATATCAAATAAAGAAGTTACATGAACGGTACTTAGAACAATAAACATCAAACGGCGTTAGACCCAATTCATATTTCTATCAGGCATATATATATA